AATTAGCCCTTGAAATTGTTAAAAGATGATCACAAGATAGTTACAAACGTTTGAAACTAGATCTTGAAATACCGTATCTTCATTATCATTTTAAACAGAAGTCCCATATTCCTCCATAGCCATTCCCATTACGAAGGACTACTCAGAAAGAAAGCAGTCTGTGGGCTGCACAGCTGTGCTTTAATGTAGACAGAGAAGGCAAGGAAGGATGAGGTGACCTCTCTTGAATATGCTTGTAAAGTAAAAATTCAGCTAAACCCTGAAAAAAAAATTTTTTTTACAGCTTGCATCTTGTTAGCTTAATTGAGTTTCTTCTTTATTCCAGATAAGCAACAGAGCTCCTCTCTCTTTTTTCCAACAGTGAGTTTTAGAACTTCTAAGTTCCCATTTTATTGCTTATTAAATGTTTGTCAAACGAGGAGCTTGCTCAAGCCTGTTAATTGGTATGGCTTCCCATATCCTGTCACATTGACTTGGCCAGAAACGTAGCAAAATAAAGATCTGCTAATTAGTTGTGTAGGTCTGTTACAAGTGATTTCACAGTGCAAATGTGCATGGAATACATTGCAAATGCTGTCATTTTCTTTTCCTTGTTTTCTAAAACCTTGGTTCTAAAACCTGTGCTTAATAGACACCAGTGGCTAAAGTATAGTACAGCGATTTCACGCAGCTTTGCCAAAATTGGCAAATGAGATTTAAATACATATAGGATAATATGGAGGAGAATTTATGTGATTTAGAAAAAACAGTAACTTAAGCAGAATTATACAAAGATATAATCTTTTAAAAACATAGCAGCTGTGTAAGGTGAATTCAAAAGCAATTCATTATGTGCAAAGTAAGAAGGGGGGAAAAAAGCACTCCCAAGACATCTGCAAACAATAATAATAATTGGAATAGTAAACTTTTAAAATGTATCTAATCCTCCACATTCTCTGCGGACATGGCAAAGTTGATGTTAATGTGCAGAATGGAATGTCCCCCAAAGGTCCTTCCACTGGATTCTCTCTGGCCAGTATTTATAGCTTTCCTGGGATAGAGAGTCCCAAAATTCTAGTCTCTGGAGGCTAGTGCGACAATCGTGATGGGCATCAATGTATTAGAATAGCTAACTTTTTCATAAATAATTTTTTTTATTTGAAATAGAACTGTCTCTTTTATTTTCCTTCTCGATTAAACAATGCATGTAATCTCCCATGCCTTTCTAAAACTGAAAACTAGAAAGAAAAAAGCAACAAGAACAATCATCGCCTCTATGCCTGCATGTTTATATGTGAGGCACTGCCCCTTGAATATTATTTAAAGTTTTATTAATCACATTTTACTGATGTGAAGAGGGAAACTCACGGAGGATAAGTAACTGATCCAAGGTCACACTGTATAGAAGTGATATCTGAATGTCAGCCACACTCCAATAATGAGAGCTCATTTTATTGAGAATTCCCTACAAGCCAAGTGGTGTTCTAAGAACTTTACACACATAAACACATTAAATCTGTACAACAATCCAATGAGGTAGGGAATTTTATCACCTCCGTTTCACAGGTGAGAAAACTGAGACACATAAAGATGGTGACTTGCCCATTGCTACCCAGCTAGTAGGGGACAGAACCAAGACATGAACATAGGCAGCCACCTTGCTTTACAGTCACTTTTTTTTCCCCCAACAAAGTTAGGACTGCGAAGCAATTGAAAATTTAAACTTTTTTTGAGATTTAAAATACTTATTTTCGAGAACATTTGGTAGTATTATAGGTAGAGCTATTTATGTGCTGTAGTTTAAGGGGTTCTTAAAAGACCCACTCAAAATATATAAATCAAGCTTTTAGTCTTACTGCTTTTATGACAGTTTCAGAGTACAGTAGAAAAATATCAGCTTTGGTGCCTAGTTTTATTCATACAACAAATCCCATTGGCTCCTACTGTTTACACACTATTCTAGGTTCTGCAGATACAGTGGGAATAGACCAAATTCACATGCATAGAGCTTACAACCTAGTGCAGGGGCAGAGGCTCATACATATGTTACAATAAGTGCAATGAAGATGACAGCCTAGTCCATAAGACCTCACCTGGATGAGGTCTTCAGGAAAGCTGCCTGAAAGGAGTCCCTGATCAGAGATCTGCATGATGAGTAGGAATTCACATGATTAAACAAAAAGCTTGAAAAGCCTTGGGACTTGAAAAAGCAAGACTACTTGAGGCACTAAAAGAAGATCAAAACAGCTGGCCTGGCAGACAACATGCAGAAGAGATGTGCTAGATGGGGCTGGGGAGGTGAATCAGGACCTGGTACTTAGTAATGCATGTTATTTAGTGTACACTGCCATAGTGTACTTAAACATACAGACTTTGAGAATTAAACATCCAGAGAGAGTCCATGGTGGTCCAGGAAAATGGCATTCCAATGAATCCATGTTGTCCATATCATTCATTTCTAATTTAAAAATTAGTTACTTGCATCTACTGAGCTAAGCTGCCTCTGAGGTCTACAGAAGGTAGTGTGGAGAGCTCAGGTGAGACATCTTGACCTGAGAATCCAGGATGGTGAGAACTAGTAAAGGGTTTCTATTTCTTTCCTACCAGTCGCAGGCCCTAAAATGAGCCAGGAGACTTGTGTTAGAAAATTCTGAAGTAAGTATTAATGTGTGTGTGTGTGTGTGTGTGTGTGTGTGTGTGTGTGTGTGTGAGAGAGAGAGAGAGAGAGAGAGAGAGAGAGAGAGAATGTAGTGGGAATTTGTGGACTCCAGAGGGTGGCCCTCCACTTGCCTATACTCTGCATTTGAGAAACTAGAAAACATGCCTCCTTTGGATGGATGATTAGAAATAAAACATCTCCTCTGGTAGACAACTGAGTAAGCATGATTATCTTTGGGGTGATCTGACTACAGGAGGGCTGCAGAGAGCCGAAAAGGTCAGCAGTTTCTACCTGAATCTTGAGGTGCAGAGAGTGGCAGTTTTGGCAGCTGATGTCCTAACAGAGCGATCACAGCTTTCAGCTCTGTGGGCAGCTGACCCCAGGGAGAGATGCTAGTCCCACCTTTACTTAAGCATCTCAGCAGCTAAGCATGAGTCCCCCTGAAGTCCATGTTAAGGAAGCAAGCAGATGAGCAAAACCATAAAAGGTGGCTCCCAAAAGTAACTATATGAAGGGACAGTTGACAGCTTGAACAAGAAAAGAATAGCAAGGGCATTTGCTCAATTACAGCATAAAAAGTACTTTCTGAATATTGAGAACATTGTTTTAGAATTAAAATATTCCTGAGGTGAATTGAAGGTCATGGTTGAGACCTGATTTATAGGCTGCAGAGATTGAGAACCTGTGGTGGAGCACATGATGAAAAAAATTTTGCAGGCAGAAGCAAGAGAACAAACATATAAATTCACTAAATTAAAAAGTAGATGATGAGGAAAAGAAAATAACCAAATAAATCAAGATTAGAAAAAAACAGTACACATGGTAAAGAGGGAGATTCTATCATGGTAAAATGCTCAATTTGCGAAGATATAAACACTATAACATGTAAGAAACAGCAATGAAATATCTGCCCAACATATTCATCCAAGAACTATTATACATGCAATTAGACTATGATAAATATAAAATAATGGGAACATTTTAGTAACTATTCCAAAATCTAACAGAACTAGCAGTTAAAAATAATCAAGGACATAGTGGAATTGAATAAACGAGATCACTAAGTCTTTTTAAATAAAACTATTAAATAAAAAACATATACTTTTGGTTTTTCATGAAAATCTACCAAATTAAAAAATAAAGATTATTACTTACAAAAATAACTACTAAAAATTCAAAAAGTAAAGCCTTTTTATTTCTAAATTTTTTGGAATATCATTGTGAATGGTTAGAAATAAAAAGTAAATAAATTTAACCTCAAACACCCTGACTCTTTGAAAATAAGAAATATAATCCCACATATGTCTGTGTCAAAGAATAAAATAAAAAACTGAAATTAGGCATTCACTAGAAAATAGTGAAAAAGAAAATGTATCTTCTTATAGAATATATCAAACTTGCAGAATATAGCAATGAATACCTTAAAAAATGGCTACAGGGGCTGGCCAAGTGGCGCGTTGGTTAGGAGTTGGCTTGGGACGCCAGCTCTGAGCAGCAGGGCCCCAGTTCGGATTCCACATGGGGGCCAGTGACTCTGCGCCCTCTACAGCTAAGATGGTGAACAACAGCTTGACGTGGAGTTGGGCTGCCTTGAGTCACTGTCGATGGCATAGCTGCAGCCCCTTCTGCAGTGGGCTGCGGTGAGCTACTGTGTGTGGCCAGCAGCCAGCATGAGCGGCCGGCAGCTGGTGTGAGCTGCCAAGAGCTGCTGTGAGCGGCTGTCCAAAGGCCCATGACCAATCTGCCTCACCTGGGAAGAGTGCAATGATAATACCAACACGGGCCAGTGAAGCGACATCCTCCACAACTAGACTGAAGAACAAAAGGACAGCAACTTGTCTGTTCCCCTCCCCAATTCCCCCCAAAAAATCTTAAAAAAAAACAAAAACGGCTACCAAATTAAAGAAATATTAAAATACAGAAAAAGATGCTCGAGTTAACATTTTTTATTAAAGTATAAACAAAAAGAATTCAAAGAAAGTTGGAAGAAAGAAATGATAAAAAGAACTAAAACTAATGAAATGTAAAAATAAAATAAGGGATAAAGAAAAACAAAGTTGATTCTTTGGTTCTATTTTAGTATCAATTTTACTTATTTTATATATTTATTGCTCTTATTTGATTTGGGTTATTTTATATATTTGATTCTATATTATTATCCAAATAAAATAGATCAGTAGTAAAACAAAGAAACCAAGAGAGCAAGGTGTTCAAAATTAGAAATGACAAGACAGATGTGTCAACAACACATAATACATTATAAGAGACTAACATTACATCATTCCCTAATAATAATTTGCCCAGAGCTGGACTGTGAGCCTCTATAATCATGTTAACCTTTTCCCATTGACTCCACAAACAGGAGACTGATCTGGGCACACAAACTATGAGCGCCATGTAGGAGCCCTGGGGTCAAAGAGGAGCCCTACATTTTACTTAACCTTTTAGGGATTTACACCGAATTCTTCCAACCTTAGAAATTATTTGAACAAACTAAAAACTGGGTAAGTGTGCATGGTCTTAAATTTAATTTTGAGAATAAGTACTTTATCTTTCTAATACCTTGTGATATGGCAAGTGCCCTGTCTTTTAAAAAGTTGCTACTAATACCTTAATCTGTAAAAAATGTATGAGTTTTTCAAAATGCTTTCACAAGTGTTATCTCGTTTCATCCTGACAACAGCCCTGTGAGCCAGGCAACAGCCTTGGAATCCTAATTCCTACTTTAAACGGGGAGAAAATAGAGATCGTGTATAAACTTAAATCTGGAGATTTTTTCCCACATACCACACTTTGCCTCACTTCCTTTTTTTCCCTTACTTCAATCACCCTGTTAAATAACTGTTGCCATTCTTATTGTTAACCACCCAGGCTGCTATAGGATATTCCTGCTACTTATGGGATACTGATAATTAGGCCATAGAGTATATTTGACATGTGTCTTATATAGGTTATCTGGCCCTGTAAATGATTCGCAAATGGAAAATATGAAAATGATTCCCATTCTTATAACAACTATCAATTTAATTCTCATTTATGCCTTCTAAGAAAATCACAACCTCCATTGTAACTTCATCTCATGTCACCTCTGCTCCCTGCACATAATAACCAAAACTTTTTGCTATTGCTTTATCATTTGAATTATTTCTTACAAACTGATTGATAATTGTTTAAGGCCAAATGCTCTGCTTATTCACCCTGCTTCCAGTTTTTCATTAAGACACATACACACACAAGGAGTCGTTAAAGAGAGATTAGAGAGAGGCAGAGAAAGAAAGAACAAAAGAAAGGAAATGAAACCCTTGACGAAGCATTTCTCAAGCTCTCAGGTGGAGTCAGTGGTTCCATTCTGTAGGCTAAACAGATTTAAAAAATATCTTTGTATTGGACTTCTATTTTATAATTTCCACTATACTTTGAGCTCCCCAATAAGTTTATTAAAGGCATACATACATACTTCCCAAACCAGGGAAGTCACAGAGTTTACAAACTTTTGAACCATTTATCTATGTGTAATGAAGGTATGTTTTTCTAGGACCCTGACTGGAGGAAATCTTAAGCTGGCTCAGGTTAGCACCAATTAGTCACTAATACCAAATACTGGTGAAGGGGAAGGTGCCCCTCCAGGTGTGGGGTATCCCCATCCCTCAGCCCCCTATCTCCTCATGGAATGGGGATAGAGGTGTCTAAAAACACCCTGGAGTATGAAGATGGAAGACAATCCACCGTGGACAGCTTGAATGGAATGATCATACTTTTGAAATCACTCCAGCTAAACAATCCATGGGTGACATAAGGCAGCCATAGATGTTGTACTACCACAGAATGATATCAACACAGGTTTCAGTTTTGTGGAGACATATCTGATTAAGACTCCTTGGGTAGGATTGCAAACTGATGAATATGGGAAGAATGTTGAACAAAAGCTTAAAAGACAGGAAACACCAGGTATACTTAGGGAATAAAAAAATTCTAATTGCATAAAAGAAAAAGATATTTAATGGGGAATAATTTCTACTAGTTAATGAAACATGATAGGTCATGAAGGACTCTGAATACTATAAAATAACACATCAGCAGGGGGACTGACAAAATTGGAGCCATCCTTTATGAAGATTATCTAAAAAGCAATGGGCATCATAGACTGGGGGATAAAAATGCTAGGAAGGTCAGTAATGAAGTTACTATAATAAAGCAGCTAAGTGCAGCTAAGAGAAACTAGGGCAATTATCAGAAGATTGGAAAGACAAAGATAAGTATGAGAAATGGTCTAGAGATGAACCCCAGTGGTTTTGCCACAATTCCATCCAATTGCAATCAAATTCCCTTGTATTGCAAAGGAAGTTCCAGAAAAGATAGGACTCCACTTTCTTATTCAAACACCTTTATTAAATATTATTGATTAGAAATTTATCTTTATTAGAAAGCTATCAGAATCAATGCTATGTTCTCTGATTTCTAAGTTTAGCAAACTCATGCCTTTATACCTATAAGCACCTATTAAAAGATATACATATTAATTAATAAATATTTATCAAATGTTTAGTAAGTGCTTTGCACTTTTCTAGGCTCTGAGGATATAGCAGCGGTAAACAAAACGCATTATTCTGTGCCCTCATGTACATTATAATCTGGGAGGGGAAACAGACAATACATATGTTATATATACATATGTTTATTGTATACACGTATATTATATATACAACATGTTGTATGTTATATATGAATATATTATATACCAATAAAATAACATTTATAGTATATTAGATGATGGTAACTATAGAAAAAATAACTCAGGGAAAGGCGATAGTGAGGGTCAGGGTAGTGGAAAGTTGTGATTTTTACACAGGGAGGTCAGGGAAGGCCTCACTGAGAGGAAATTGGCTAAAGACTTGAAGGGGGAGGGGAAATGACCCATGTGGGTACAGGGGTCAAGAGAATTCCAACAGAGGGAACAGCCAGAAGAAAGGCTCTGAGACAGAAGTGGGTGTAGCATTTCAAACAAGTGAGGGAGGCCAATGTGGCTGAAGAAGTGAGGGTAGGAACAGTAGTAGCAGGAGCTATGGTTAGAGCATCTTGGGTTCAAACTGTGTAGGGCACACTATGTCATTGCAAAGACTCTGAGTTCAGTTTTTACAATGGTGAAGAAGGGATCCCATTGGAAAGTTTTGAGCAGAGGAGTGACAGGATCTGACTTAAGTTCTAAAAGGATGACTCCTGCTGCTGCTGACATTGAACCATAGAGAGTGGAGTGCAGAGCGGGGTGATGAATTGGGAGGCAATTGTTAACTAAGATAGGGAAATAAATAGATGGACTAGACCAGGGAGGCAGTGGTCAAGGTGGTCAGAAGTGGTCAAATTCTGCATCTATGGTGAATAATAAAAAAGGAACAAAATCTTCTTAGCCTGTTATGTATGAACAAAGTACTTTCAGTTATGCTGACACAAAGATGAATATTTGAGCCTTAAAGTGAATTTAAATTTAAAAATTTATTTTAAGCCAGACTGTTCAGATACGCCAGCTCCCCTGAGCCCCAGTCAATGGCCCACACTCTCTAAATATGCTGAGTTTGCTCCCAAAGCATCATATAACACTGTCAAAACTGTACAGATTGATATGTGCATGTCAGTCACTAAAACATCCCCTCATCCAGGAATACTCCAACATTCATGCACATATTCAAAGATTTTTCAGCTAGTGCATTCTGTACTCTTAGAACTCTCTTTGGCCCATTTTTCACATTTAGCACAGGTGCATTTAATTGAATTATGTAAAGAAGATAACAGACTATCTGACATCTAGAGGAATAGTGTATGCTCTAAAGCTTTTTAAAATGCAAAACCAATTTTTTAATTTAAAATTAAGCTTGCCACTGTCATTGATATGAACTGCATGTTGTGATTAATGAACTGCAAGCCAGCATACTTAAAGAGACGACTCGTTCTGGACTGTTTCTGAGGTTAACCAAGGAAAAGTTTGAGAAAAACTTATATTCATGAGGCTAATTTAATGTGCAATATTAATATTTATATATTCTTACACACAGTAAAAATCTAACTATTATGTAGATTTTTTTATTGATTTAAGTTGTATACTTTACTCAAAGGAACAGTTAAGGGACACACTTGAACTGGTGTTCACAGCAAGGATTTCTAGTAAATTTATTAGCTGAACAGTATCTATTTGGGTTCCAGTTCCAGGTATTGGAGTAAGCACGTTCCATCATGCCTTTCCCTCTGAATGCAACTATAAAACCTGGGCAAAATGCATGGATTTGCAAGTTAAGGGCTCTGAAAATTAAATAGTAGCAGGTAGACTGGGGAAGATGGCAATTTGAAGTATCAAGAAATTAGTGGTGAGTTTACCTCTTTTCCTTTTTTCCAGTATCAACAGACTAAAGTCACGTGACCCAAACCTGGACGTGGGCACTGGGGTTCAGGCAGAGCTCTAGCAGAGGTTCTCTAGTCCTGGTTCCAAGCAGTCCTGTAGCTGCAGCAGTAGCACCAGCAATGGGACCCCACAGATAGATGCTAAAATTATTAGAGAATAGCATCTTCCTGCCCAAATTGCTGCAGCTGTGGTCCCAAAAGAGTGGACTGAATTAGCTTCCCAATTTTTCCTTGCAATTTGGTTTTGGCCCCAGCTGTTGGCACAGCCATGGAAGTATGTGCCACAGTGAGATAACTAAAGCCCCAGCTTTCTGGCAAAAGGACCAAAAAGGGAAGCCCTAGCGATCCAAAAAGCACTGGGGCAATTGCAAAGAGGGCTCAGGAAAGAAAACTCATAAAATTATATGTAAAAACCCTGGGCTCCTTTCCCAGAGCTGTGGCTGTGTGGCTGATTCTAGTCAGCAAACTAAGACTTGGAGAACTCAACTAACAGAAAACTTCCCTTGCCCCTGAATGAAAAGCTCCTCACAGAGTGAGCAGTAGTGCTACATAGGCTTTAGCCGAACTGACACTGAAACCACCTCCATATTGAAGTCAACCAAGCTATCATTTTTTTCCACAAATGCGGAATCCACAATTTATTGCATACTTTGAAGAAATGAAAGTGCTTTCTTATTGGTGAATGGCATAATCTAATGGTGTAGTTACTCTATATAACAATGAAGCTGATAAAATTTGATAAGATCAACTCCATGAATACAGTAGTTCATAGTGCTCACCTCTTATCTGATAAAATGTTTACCTTTCCTCGGTATTTTTTAGTAAAAATGCATTTATTAAAGCAATGTTAGAAAATGTAGATCTTTCACATAAAGGAAAAATTATCTAAGGATTTCTCACCCATTTGCTTCATCTTTTTTTTTTCTGTTTAAAAGTTTTGTTCATTTTATTATTTTTTTTAATTGCTTTTACATTAAAGGTCATTTGTGGGTAATTTCCAGTTGATGTTATTTTTATTTTAGATATGCATGCAGTGGATTGCCTACACGTTGTCACTATTTCAAATGGTGATACAAAGAACATATTTTGGCCAATATTTTTTCACATTTATGTACTTATATATCCCTTTCTCCTCATCAACAGTTTAATGATGCATAATTGATATGCAATGAATTGCACATAAAGTGTACAGTTTGATAAATTTTGACATATCTATGCACCCTACAAACCATTGCCACATCAAGATGGTCGATTATATATTGATATATACATATCAGCTTCAAAAGCTGTCCCTTTGTAATGTTTCTCTCCTGCCCCTCAGCTCCTCCCCTAGGCAGATCCACTTTCTATACATTAGTTTGCATTTTCTGGTATGCAGGTATATTCCAAGATAAATTTATAAACTATAATTTATCATGATATATATGACTAATTTGCCAATTAAGTGACAGATATTACCAAATTGTTTTTAAAGAGTCTATACCAATTTCAGCAACACATACAAGAAAGTTCATTTCTGTACACTCTTGCTCAAACTAAGCTCTATGAAAACTGTTGATCTTTTCTGTCCTAAAGGAAAGGGAAAACAATTGCTTTACTGTTATTTTCATTGAATTAAGAGTGAAAAGGAATATTTTTCATGGTTATTATTGGTAATAGATGTTTATACTTATAAAAATGTCTTGCTCATGTCATTTGCCTACTTTTGTATTGGGTTGTATATTTTTTGATTAATAAGGGCACTTTTTATTTTACAAAATTAAGTTATTTTCTTTTATATAGATGTGCTCATAATCATCGAAGGTTTACATAAGACAAACTCAAAGCACAGAAGTTATATGATAAAGCAGGGATTTATTAAAATTTTACCACAAACATGTTTTTATAAGCAAAATTATATTTGGTTTTAAATGAGAATATTACATTAAAATTTAATTTCTCATTTTCAAAATACCTAATGGTATACTAAATTAAATTTCACTAAAATAATTGTCAAAGTCTGAAACACCTGTCTGAGAATAACTTATGAATATTTCAGGATATTCTATTAGTCACATATCTATTTTCATTATGTATCTCCTATAAATAGTATTCAAAGTGAGCACAATGCGATACATTTGACATGGAAAGCCTAGCTAATCAAAGTATTTAAATACACTTTCATAAGTTTAAAATGACAACATCTCATTTTGGTGTGTAGAGTTAAGGGATGCTAAAATGTTTGAACTAATATCACCAGTAACATTATGATCTTTTGTCCTAATTTAATTAATATTGAGCCCAATATACTCTGGAAATAACTTCATTGACTATTTCTGATTGTGCTAACCAGAGAGACTAGGAGAGTGTACTCTTAAATTTGCTTGAGAGAATTAGGAGAAACTTCATGATAAAATTGTTAGAGGCATTGTCTGTTTCCAGAAATGTGTCTCTTTCCTTAGGGCTTCAAGTTAGGAGGGAAAAAGGGGGCAGTGTACTCATAGGTAGGTGGAGTGGGGTGGAGCCTGTATTGTTCAAGGGGCCACATTAACAGCTTTGGATGCAAAACAAAAAAGTTTTGACTTTTTTAACAGTAACGCCAATATTTCTTAACCTTTTACAAACTATGTTCTCTGTATTTTAAGTCTGAATAATATTTCATTGTATGTATATACCACATTTTCTTTATCCATTCATCTGTTGATGGACATTTAGGTTGTTTCCACACCTTAGCTATTGTGAATAGTGCTACAATGAATATGGGAGTATCTGTTTGAGATTTTGATTTCAATACTTTTGGGTAAATACCCAGAAGTGGGATTGCTAGATCATATATAGTAATTCTAGTTTTAATTTTTCCAAGAACTTCCATACTCTTTGTAATGAGGCTGTACCATTTTGCTTTCCTACCAACAGTGTACCAACACTGTACAGGGTTCTAAGGTTCAATTTCTCCATATTTTCATGAACAGATTTTTTTTTAAATAGCCACCCTGAAGAAATTCCACAATATGCAACAACATGAATAAATCTTGAGGACATTAATGCTAAGTGAAATAAGCCAGTGACATAAACATAAATACTACATAATACCACTTACATAAGGTATCTAAAACAGGTCAAAATCATACAATTGAGTAGAATGATGTTTGCCAAGGTTTGGGGGGAGGGAGAAAGGGAGAGTTACTACTCAATGGGCATAAAGTTTCAGTTAAGCAAGATGAAAAAATTCTAGAGCTCTGCTATACAATAGCGTACATATAGTCCACACACTGTATCGTGCACTTAAAAAATTGTTGAGGGTAGATCTCATGCTAATTGTTCTTACCACAATAAAAAATAAAAAAATTAAATTAAATTTAAAAAATAAATACATGTTCCCTCTATTTTTTTGCTTTGTTTTGTTTTGTTTTGTTTTGTTTTTTCGTATATCTTGTAAACATCCCCACCAGGCAAAAATGATTTTTTTCAGTTTTCATCAAAAATAATAATAGATATATTGAACATACTTCTTTATATTATATACTTCCAGCTCCTCCCTCTGATTTCTTCCCTTAGGGAATGAAAGAATTCTCTCCATCTCCCAAAGTTCAGAATCTTTGCTGCAAGCCTTGGGGAGATCATCATTTATTGAACAAATACTTATCAGGTATTTTATCATTCAACTAAGGGTCTGCACAGGAGGGAGATATAAGCAGATATGTGACAGCCATATTTCTCTGGCAGCACTTGAAAGGACTCCAGGGGAGGACGTCATGAACTGACACAGAGGTTGTCAGAGGAGAAACGTGAAACGGTATGCAAAACACCACTAATACATAGATGTGAGACAAGCTAGAGTAGGGAGCTGTCATTGAGGATCCAAAAATCAAATGCTATAGCCTGGGCATTCAGAACAAAATGTTGCTAGCACAAGTTTTGGTGCTAAAGCCATCCTGTGCCTGGAACAGCAGGCAAGTTTCTGAGTACCTCCGTGTTGTGCTTCCTGTGGCTACCAGGCTGCACACGGTAATTCTGGGTACAGGTAGAAGGAATATAGGGTCTTGATGACTATTTCCAAAGAGTTCTCATGGGTTTCAGACAGCCAGTATTAAATTAGGTGCTCAAACCTCCCTATATCAGATTAACAGATTAACATTTTAAATTTAGTTTGGCTTAACTGGAGATATATCATTTTAGACGAATGAAAAATCTCATCTGTGTTCCTATCCTCAGCTCTTACTTTATAAAGCCAAAACTCAGCAGTGACTGGAAAAGGGAGCCTAGACAGAAGGTTGGGGAGGGCTTCACCAGCTCACTGTGAAAGAGACCTTCGGTTCGGATGCAAATAGCCATCTCCTAAATCGTCCACCTATCTAAATAATAGCCTATCTGCACACTTACTCCTTGAGGCTCCGTGGATTCCTTTACTGCCTTTTTAATCTTTAAAGCTGACTTTGCCATTCATCTTGAAACTGTGTGACCTCCACACAATATACCAACATGATGAGAGACAATAAGAAGCGCTGAAGATTGACAGTCCCATACCTGAGCATGTTAGTCTTTTTACAGCCTCGGAAGTTAAATGGGAAAGAAAATTTGCCAGTACTAGAGTTTAGTTTATGACAGCATTCCCATTATAAAGCCTTTGGAAGGCTATTAAATATGTTCATTACATTTATTAAAGTATGAAGCAAGAAAAGACTTTATATGGTAACTGGTTTATGAGGTCTAACAATTAAGTTTGTGAACTTGTGCAACCACGTTGCTAACATTTTTTTGATATCACAGAGATTATTCATTATGAATTTGTACCAACTGGACAAACAGTTAATCAAGTTTACCATATGAAACAGCTGAAAAGGCTGCGTGAAAAAGTTAGACAACCTGAACTTTTCGCCAACAATTCATGGCTCTAGCATCACAACAATGTACCAGCTCACACAGCACTGTGTATGAAGTAGTTTTTAGCCAGTAAACAAATAACTGTATTGGAAAACACTCCCTACTCATCTGATTTGGACCCCAATGACTTCTTTCTTTATTCAAAGATAAAGGAAATACTGAAAGGAAGAGATTTGGATGACATTCAGGACAACAAGGGTCATACGATGACAGCTCTGATGGCCATTCCAGAAAAAAGAGTTCCAAAATTGCTTTCAAGGGTGGACTAGGCACTGACATCGGTTCATATCTTCCCAAGGGGAATACTTCAAAGGTGACACTAGTGATATTCAGCAATGAGGTATGTAGCACTTTTTCTAGGATGAGTTTGTTTACTTAATTGTCCTACCTTCATATAGTAAAAAAAGAGTTTTTCCATTTCATGTTATATTAAACTGTTTGATCAATATTTCTTTTAGATTGTTTCTTTCACACAAAAAAATGATACTATATTTTAAAGGATACATGGAAATAAAATGTATTGGGACATTATACAAAAGTGCATATAATGCTGAGTAATATCTTATAATTAATTTCCTTTAAAATTATACTGAGCTACTTTAAAATATATCCCACTGATAAGTTTGCTTAAAGGAGGGAAAGAAGCTATATAGGGGAAACTTGCATTTGAAGTCTCTATCTTAACTTCAGTGATTCTAAAAATAGATACATTTATAAACAGACTTAAATACAGACTTAAAAAGAAGCTTAGATAGTCATCTTAACCTCTCTTAGCCTTGGTTCCTCCATGCAACAGATTAAGTGAAGTTCATAATGGTACTTTTCAAAGAGCATAGATACTATGTCTTTTTATGCTTTTTTTTGTAGAAAAAAAATGCATAAAAGTGATAGCTGAAAACTAAAAAACTGGCTCTAGGTATGTTATGACTTTGGAAATCTAGAAAGTGTAGATGTAAGTTTTACTTGGTTCCCATACGTAATCTGATACAAATGCCATTCCATTCCCCAATCATGAAAAGAGTATATTTAATGTTAATAGATATTAATATAGGCATTAAATATATAGGAAATAAATCTATTATTTTTAATAACATGTTTTATGATTTTGTTTCTGTAATTTTTTTAGATAGATATTTCTACTATTAGGGATGTTCAAGTGACCTGGGACTACAAAGGTCATCAAATTTTGAGAAAAGTTTGTGTATGTCTTTTTGATCAATACTTTCTGTGAAACATCAATGGATTTCGTAGCTGTCATGACAACTATGGGTTTTCTGAATTTGGCTTCTGGTTCTAAGCACTTTACAGCTATCAATCATGTGTAGAAATAACCACTTCATGATATGGTCAAATCAGATATATTAGCATGGTTATAGAGATGTAAAAGGAATTAAAAACAAGCTAGCATTTTATGAACTGTAAAATAGAGTTTCACAGAATATGATATTTTAAAAACAAGGTAAAAGCTTTACAGAATACAAAATATATTTACAGAAAAAAAATATTAGTTTTTAATCTATAATGCCAAATGCTTATTCCAATTTCTTTAGGACAGACTAGTAAGTATGAAAATATATACTCATGCCCTTTAAAGGATTTAAATAGCTACTAATAAGTAAGGCTTAAAGGCATAAAAGAGGCTTTCATTGAAAACTATATTTATGTAAGATAAATATTTTAGAAACTGAACGGTAAGCCTTTCCAAATTGCATTGCAGAGATGAGTAACCTGTGGCATCTGCAGCTATCCTGAGTGGCTTTATAGTGAGTGTTCAAATTATAGCACATAAAAATGTTGAGGCACGCATTCAGGGGCAGCTCAATTTTCTTGTAATCCTCATAAAGAGAGAAAAACAACAGCCTCTTTGTTGGGTACTTAAGCTGGGAGCAGTGTGGAGAGAAAGGGAAAAGAGAAAACACAATATTAAGGACAATAATAAAACTCTGCTGGGCTTTTGAGCCCAAGGTCATTGCCCCTAAGACTTCATTTTTCAGATATTGCTCTGATTTGTGAACTACTGGATTCCGAAATATCCCCCCGCTTTGCCTCTTGGAACATGACCAAGAAGGTAAGATGTGAGTGGCAAGGAGGGCTCATCCCTATTTCCAGTTCTTCCACCGTACTGGTGATGAGCATTAGCTATGTCTTAAAGGAACTCAGGCATGATTCCCTGCCTGCTGCCTGAGTTTTATCTATGCAGGGAGGAAGGGACAAAAGGTGCACTGCATCATCTCTACTTCCAGCACAGCATATGAAAGCCAACATCTGCCCAGGTGGTTTCCAGAGCTGCTACAGTTTGCCTTCCTCACAGAATGGTTGTGAAAATTAAAAAGCATATAAGAGAATATTTGGCAATTATGAAGTAGTCTACAAATAAAAAGAACTCTCCATGTTAAGAAAAGCATGTTGTCAGTGAAATTTCTCAGAAATCTCTTTTCATAAAGTATTACCTCATCTATGAACCACATGATAAAATCCCCCTTAGAGAGCCACCAAACTTTTAAATAAATCTGTGGAATTAGTAGCCCTAAAATTGTAAATAGTTGGGTAATTATGTAAGTGTTGGACCACATCTTGAATACCTGTCTTTGTTGGGATGAAGAAGGGTATAGAATACTTGGGTGTATTATGACATTTAAGGACCATAGCTGACCTCAGTTATACCCATAAATAAAGAAATTAACTATGCTTCGTCTTTAAGGTAGTTTTTAGCAAGATTATTTTTTGGCTGTGCTAATACTTGTTCTGCTGAAGAAAGAAAGTGCCATTTTTTTTCCTGACCAGAAGATTCCCTTGTGTTCTTTGGGACTCACTTGACCCAGATGTGCATCATCTACCCTTGCTCTCAGTTAGTATGTGCTAACCACGTGCTCTCAGCTGGGTATCAGCCCTGCCCAGCATTGCCCACTCATCCCAACATTTAGGTTGAGTTCCTTATACTTACAGGATAAAACAAAGTAGACCTTGGTATCTAGTCTTGTATAAGTTCATATGCTAAGGCCTTCAGTGAATCAGGTTTCCAAACTAAAAGGACAAATTAATGATTCAATAACACAACCATATTTCTTATATCTAGACTGTTTTTATTGAGGCATTCACCAGGGTTGAGGAGCTTTATCTCTTTTTTTCTATACCATTTTTGCCTCAGAGCTGAACACAATTTTGAGGACCAAGTCAGTGTTTCAGGCCATGTGAAGGGCATCTCATCATATATTTGAGATTCTCATTCTCTTTGCTTTGGGGCTTTATCTTCATTTGTTTATAAAACAGTAATTTATGTCCTACCTATATGCAGTTGCTTCCAAAGAAAATAATTCTGTCAGCAAATTAGCCATCTCACCTTTACAGTCCATATATATACATACATATATATATATACATATACATATATATATATGGACTACACACACACACACACACACACACACACACACACACCCCAAGCCAAACTCACAGAGTGAGGCAGGAGTGGATCTGCGTGATTACGGATTGTGTGTGTGGGTGTGTTTGTATGTGTTCAGTGACAATATGGCCAAGTTAAGACATACAAGAATGCAAACATATTAAAAATGGTTTTCTATTTCTATCACTAATTTTAACCTCTGGCTAATAACGAAAAAGTAAAATCAAATAAAATAGTAAAGGAAAGGAAAGTCGTGAAGAGTTTAGCTATCCCCAAGGAAGAAACGATGACTTCAGGCTCCACTACTCATAATCAAGGTGTCCCCAAGGCAACAAGTACAATCACTACTGTATTCAGCAACTCATTTTAAAAATAAAAGGTAACTTACTGTCAAAGACTTCTCCTCGCGGCCCTCTCCCAAATAAATGCACTGTTCCTTCATGCTTACAGCCTCCCTGGGGTAAACAAGGTGCTGTGAAGGAAGAGAGGATTCTGACTTCCATATCTCAGATAGACTGTACTGATTGCAGGGCACATCCCAGCATCCTGGGAGGAGGCAGAGCATTGGGCCCATCTCAGAGGAATACAGGTTCATTACATTTTATGTAGCCTACACCGCTTTCCACAAAATCTTTCAACAACTCCCTTTTTCACCTCTCTTCCACAGCTAGATATAAGCAATGGGGGCTGGCAGTTACCAAAAAAGATGGCCATCTCCCTCTAATTCACAAGTATTTATCCTCGAGGATCTCATCAGGTAATGCCACAGGCCTTTGCTATGCAGAGAGCCGGTACACCAACTACACAGCATCCGCAATCCCCATTCTGGACCACAATGCTGTGAGGATCGGCCAGCCCTCACACCTCGATGAAACATAGACATAAGATTGAATAAAGCTGATGCAGAATAAAATAGGACAGGGGAAGTATGTACCTCTTCTAATGCCCAACTCTTTAAAAGCAATCTTTTTGCTTGACTGTTTTGAAACAGAATATATTTTGACATGACCATGTATATATAGTCAATTTAATATAGCAGAGAAGAAATGACCTTGTAAAAGCATTAGATTTACATCTTGTTTCTTGTTCCTCAATCATCAAGGGCTTTGGCTTTATACCTTATTTACAAAGGTCTATGATTGGTTGTTACCTTTTGACTAAGACAAAATAAAGATACATGTTAGGATTGTGATATATGTTAGTCCAGCCGTTCTCAACCTTTCACAGGGGTCGCCTAAGACCATCGGAAAACACATATTTTTGATGGTCTTAGGAACCAAGACACCGCTCCTCTATCTGTCTCCAGGCCCACATGCAGATACGCCCACATACAAGTACCCAGCGACCCCTGTGAAAGGGTCGTTTGACCCCCAAAGGGGTCATGACCCACAGGTTGAGAACTGCTGTGTTAGTCCCTAAGGGTGTATAAATTCTGTCTCTCAAATTTTCAGTTAAAAGAAGTTTCACAATATCATATGTAATTAGTATACTGAGAGCTAGTTCTTAGAAATGTAATAAAAAACTGTTTGTTCCAGGTCATTTGGAGGTAATGGTAATAAGTGATCTCATTGTATTTTAAAAGCCACTTATCCATGGGTCTTAAAGTTTATGGAAAAAGGAAACCAGTGGATTTGAGATAAAGCAATCATGCATACAAGTGAGTCCTGAGAGAATGAACATGTGCTTATTATAACAATTGAGGGATAGTGTGATAAGTGCAAGAGGTTAAATAACTCCAAGATACATGAAGTTAGCACCTGATTGGGCCTCATCCCCAGG